ATTTTTGTAGGGAAGGTTGTGGAGAAGGTGGTCACTCACCAGTTTCAGAGGACCCTGTTTAAAGTGGATTGTCTGGTCCCCATTTGGTTGGGATTCAGGCCTGGGTATGGGATGGAAAGGGCAATGGTTGGGATTTGGGGTGAACTTTGATAAGAGTCTTCTTCTCCACATTCAACCAAAGTGTCTTCTATAGGGAAGGCCCATTTTCTTAGATCTTCCTATCCAATAAAAAAAAAAAGTCAGGAATTTTCCCCAAATTGAGTTTAGAGCTGGTTCACCCCATTGGTTTTCTTCTGACTTACTTTCAATAAGTTTCCATTTCCTCCTCTTGTACAGCCCATCCCCAAATCTCCTTTCCAAATCTCCTCCTTACCTATGCCTCTAAATGCAACTATTTGCCTCTGAATCAGTTTTCTGGAGAAATCAGGGATTCCTTCAAGGAGAGAGATGGCCCAATTCCTCACTGCCATGGTACACAAAAAGATCCAATGGGAACTATTAGAAAAACTGAAGCTGGCTACTAAGTACTCAAGCATTTAGGAAAGAGTGGTTGGGAAATCCTGGATCATTTCAAAGTATTTATTCCTGTCCCTACATTCACCCTGGACATTGTGAAGTCAGAGTGATGTCACTGCAGGAGGCAAGGATCAAGGAGCACATCAGCAATGACCATTGAGAGCTAAGCCAGGGAGGAAAGGAAGCATCCAGTCCTTCTCCTGACCACTCACCTTCCCTGGTGGCCAATCTTCCCTTCCACAGAAGCAGGAAGAAGCTTTCATTTGGGCAGTAGATGACCTCTTTATTCTTGAGTAAAGTTTTCCCGAGTGGTCAAAAGTTAGCAATCCTCGCTCCGTTCCAGGAGTGCAGGAAGAAGGAGCTGATTAACCCACATAGCTGTCAATGTTTTTCAGCCTTCTTCATTGCTGAAGTGCTAGAAAGTCAAAGTTTTATATCAGGGAGGAGATACATGAATTGAAAAGTTCCAACTTCAGGTGGTCAGTTTCTCTATCCATGCAGGAGATGGTTAGACCAGCTGGCCTTAAAAGGGAAGGGTTCCTGGTTTTGTGTCCTTCTCGCCTTTCATTGCAGCTGCTTCCAATCAGTGTTGGTTGGAGGGGAGAAACTGAGTCAAAACCCTTAGTTGTTTTTTTTTCTTTTTTAGAGTTTTACTGAAAGTTATTATAACGTAAAATACAGTGAAAACAAGGATTAAGAATGGAGGGGGGGTTGGAGAGCGTGCAGGATGAAAAAAAATGGAAAAATGAGAAAGAAAAGATGTTGCCTTCCAACTTTTTCTAACACTGTAAATACATTTATGACTTCAACTTCTTACATTACATTTAATTACTACACGCCATTTCTATAATTTCTGGTTAAAGAATCTGGAAGAGTATTTTGAACTTTTTCATTATAGAAGGAGATGAGTAAATTATCACTAATGTTTGCAAAATATAATTGGAAGTGTGAATTTGAATGTATGTATGTATGTTAAAAGTGATGTATATATACATTTATAAAACGTATTTTATAAACATGAACATTTTAAAGAAATATTTAGAGGTTTAAAAAGCAGATGAAATAGCTTTCTCTTTAAGGTTAAAATGTTGGTGTGAAACATTAAGTTCACACATGAAGGTTCAGTTAAGCTGATTCAGTGCTAAGAGCCTATGCACAGGAATCTTCTCAACTGATGCTCAACACCTTCTTTCAGTTAGGTAAGAATTAACTTCACTCAAGGGGAGGGTTGGACTTAGTTCACTTGTGGCTACGTAGAGATTCTAGGCTGATCCCTTTTTTCACGCTGCCCTTAATTTCTGCCATTTCTTCTCCTACATAAAGAATTTGAAAGAGTACCATGGTTTTTGATAATATAGATGATGGTAGTCTATAAAAATTAACAAGTGCAAACTGGAGTTCATAACATTCCCACAATAGGGAAATACATCAGTCTGGTTAAGAGGGCAATGTAAACTGTTTGAAACAAAGAGATTTTAATTGGCCCTATTTCTATTGGAAAATTACTTCTTGTTTTTATGTTTGAAATAGAAAAAAAAAGAAACTTTGAATTGTTTCAAGATTTAATAATTAACCCCACTGATTTTCAGCAATGCTCCTTTCCTCCTAGAGCAGTTTTGTGTGAATGCTTTAAGATTGATGTGTGTTAAGATTTACCTCCCTTTCAGAAGGAATTTCTTTTCATTTCCTTTTTTTCAATACACTTTATTAAGCTTTTATTACATTAAAAACATAAAAAATTATTTCACTCAACAACAGCTATTTGTGCTGTTTTTCTTGTGACGATAATTCATGCATTATTTACAAAAAATAAATTGTTCGTATTTACATTCTTATTTTATCTATTACTTATACTTAATAACTATCGATCTTTAATCTATCTCCGTTCTATCCAGTTATACCACTGTTCCCACACATTGTAAAATATCGATGCCTCTTTATCTTTTAGACTCAGCGTTAATTTGTCCATTTCTGCGCAGTTCATGACCTTTTGTATGACCACTTTCTCTGTGGGTGTGCATGGCTGTTTCCAACATTGAGCGTAGGCAATCCTGGCAGTGGTTAATATGTGTAGTAATATTTTGTGCCCTTCACATTTTTTTTTTAAAGATCCCCAATAGGAAGAGTTCCGGTTCTAAGTCTAATTGTTCATTAGTCTAACTTCCTGTAGCCAATTTTTAGCCAATATTTTTAGCCTCAGGACAGGGTTAAATCTTGGCTTGGGGAAGCTCTGGATTTATTCAGACAACTTTCACAGGGATAAAAGATTCATTGGGGAGGAAAACCCAGTTGAGAAGATCATAACGAGCAGATCCCAGTCCATTTTCTGAGAAGAAGATTTCATCTCCAGCACTGTTGTTGAACTGAATTTTCCTCAAATAGGGAAGAAGCTGAAAGAAAAGAGACCTTCAGAAATTGGAGTCATTGGCTGGAAAGCCACCATGGCTTCTATCATTCTGGGATCTTAGGAGATAGGTGTATATCTGACAAGGTGGAGGAGTTCCATTGGTGGAGATCTCAATTTTTTAGAAAAAAAATACTACTGGAGAACAATGAAGGAGAGAGTTATAAAGAACTATAAAAAGAAATTACATAAATATTTGATAATAATTTGGATAAAGGAATAGATTTAATGACTGTCTGTAATTCACACAAATGAATTCCAAAATTTTACATTAAATTAAGTTGATATACCAGCAGTTATCTATGTTCACTATCCAAGAAGTAGAGACTAAATTGAACTATGGCAAAGAAAGGCATTCTGAGTTTGCAAATAAACCAGGAAGATGGATGACATATAAATTTGAGAAAAGGAAGAGAAAACAAAATGATAGAAAAATTCAAGAAGATGAAGCACCTGTCCTGGTTTGTCACTTCCCTATCCAGAGAGGTATGACGTTTAGCTTTTGATGCAGAAAAGTCGGATGAATTTCAGAGCAGTTTGAATCCTGCTGAACGTGCTGAAGTTGACAGAGGCTGCTTTCATACAAGATCAGCGATACAACATATGGCAAGCTAAACTAATAGAGGGTGCTAACCAGAGTTGGTATTCAGCAGGTTCTGACCAGTTCTGGAGAACCGGTAGTGGATATTTTGAGTAGTTCTGAGAACCGGTAAATACCACCTCTGACGCATACAACCATCCAGTAAAAATTGTAAATCATCTTCTTGTGCTATATTTGTCATCGGATGTTGGCGATCATGTTGCCGATCCTATTTTTATCAACAGCCGCATGAAAAAGTGCTGTTGAGTTTTGTCCAAACTGGTCCCTTAGATTTGGAAGCCATGATGATCTGCATGGACCTTGTTTGCCTTTCCTTGGAGGATTAAGTGAAGGATGCTGTATTTTTCCAGGTGTCGTATCAGATGTCCAAAATATTATAACTTTTGCTTTTTTATGGTTTTGATGATTTCCCTTGGCTTTCCCAGGTGGCTTATCGCCTCCTCGTTTTGTAAATTGTAAATAAAGAAGAGAATCATTGCTTAAAACCTTTATTCACTAATAATAGAGTCCCTGAGTCTGCTGCAATGAGACCAACCAATGCAGCTCAGCAAGCAAAGAGATAATGTGCCCTACCAGAAACATGCATAACTTTTCTTGCTACTGCAATTTGCACCAGCTGAAGTTTCTGGATACTCTTCAAGGGAAGGCCCATATGGAGCATATTGCAATAATCCAAGCAGGAGGTCTTTTGCCCAGGAATGGGTGCAACTGGCACATAATCAAAGTTGTGAAAAGGCCCTTCTAGCCATAACTGCCCCTTGAACTTCAAGCAGGAGTTGTGAACCCAGGAGGACCCAAAATTTCTCACAGGGTCTGTTTGGGGCAATGCAGCCCAACCCAGCACCATAGATGGTGTAGTCCTTGAACTAGAGGACTCTGAAACCCTAAGCCACTCAGCCTTGCTGGGGTTCAATTGAAGTCTGTTTTTCCCCATGCAGACAATCATAGCCTTTAGACAGGAGGACATATGTTTAATATGTTATTCTAATTAGTTAAGCATATCACATCACAACACTGAGACCTATGGAGAAATATTTTAATACTTTAAATTGTATTGCACCACATCTGAAATGCAAAAAGAAGGAATTTCAAACATGAACTAAAAATCATATGTCTTTGGACAGAGAAGATTATAAAATAGCAATAGCACTTAGACTTATATATCACTTCACAGTGCTTTGCAGGCCCGTTCTATACAGTTTACAGAGTCAGCCTCTTGCCCCCAACAATCTGGGTCCTCATTTAACTGACCTCAGAAGGATGGAAGGCTGAGTCAACCTTGAGCTGGTGAGGATCAAACCCTGGTAATCAGCAGAATTAGCTTACAAAACTGTATTCTAACACTGCACCACCAAATATTTCCATGATTTCCAACTATTTGAAGGACAAGCCACTCTCTTATTTCATCATTGTTAAGAAACCACATCAAATTTAAAAAGGGGCCAAAGACAAAATAAATGTTACTATTTTACATGTAAATCAGAGATTCTTGTGCCCCATTATACTTTTTCTCTGATTCAGATCAGGCCTGAATAGGATGATGTAGCATTTGGGGAAAAAGATGCAAGCCAAGAGCCCAGCCCCAGAGGCCAAGATGGAGAAGATCTCCACAGCCACCATGGACTTCCCTTTGGTGCTCAGGTAAGTGGGAAGGAATGAGATCCAAACACTGCAAAAGACCAGCATGCTAAAAGTAATGAACTTGGCTTCATTAAAGCTGTCAGGCAATTTCCTAGCCAGAAAAGCCACTGTGAAACTCACAAGGGCCAGGAAACCCAGGTAGCTGAGGACAGCATAAAACATCGAAGCTGAACCTTCATTACATTCCAAGATAGTCTCTCCAGTCAAGGAATGGAAATCCATGCTGGGAAATGGGGGAGAGGTTATCAGCCAGGTGGCACAAATAATTGCTTGTATCAGGGGACAGGCTAAAACAATGGAGTTTGCCAGAGGTTTTCCTAAGAGTTTCCTTGTCTTGTTTCCTGGCTTGGTGGCCATGAAGGCCAGAACCACCATGACAGTTTTTGCCAAGACAGAGGAAACTACAAGGGCAAAGAGAATGGCAAAGGCAGTTTGTCGAAAGAGACAAGTGAACTTCCTGGGTCGACCAATGAAGAGGAAGGAGCAGAGGAAGCAGAAGAGGAGGGAGATCAGGAGGAGGTAGGTGAGATCTTGGTTGTTGGCCTTGACGATTGGTGTGTCACGATGTTTAAGGAAAATTGCCAGAACTGCCAACGTGATCAGAGAGAGAGAAACAGTGAGAGAAACTAAAGTGCATCCCAGGGGGTCTTGATAGGAGAGGAAGTGGATCTTCTTGGCAATGCAGTGGTCCTTGTCCTTGTTGGGATATTGGTCTTCTGGGCAGGGATCACAGCGAGCTGCATCTGAAATCAAGAAACCAAATCTTTGCCTGAGGATTCCAGGGATATCTGCCATAAGCCTTATTTCCCCTTCATTATTCCTCCTTTCCTCTGCTGTGGCATGAATTCCCCTTCCTGCTATGGTCAGTCCACAAAGGAAGTGATGGAATTATCTTTTGTGCATTTCATGGTGGTTGAAACAAGTTCACTCTTTGTATATTGTTGATGATGCTTTGGCTAAGTTAGTCCCAGACAAGGAGGAGTTCAGCTCCAGATGGTCTGGTTTGTTTGCTCCTGAAGAAAAGGCTGTCTCCAGCCACTGGCTTCTTCCATGACTATTGTGGCTTTAAGTCTGAGAGAGATTGCCAGTTCTTCCCCGCTTTTTACTGGAATCGCAAAAAGACTGTCAGCTAGAAATCCTACTCTTTTGTGTGTTTGTGCATTATTTCTGTGTTTGTGCTGAAGGGATCCTAACGGCAACAGGGAAGGTCATGAAAATATCTACTTAACTTTGGGAGAGGGAAAAGTCTCTTTTCCTGATCCAAAGTGGGTTATAAAGAAATTGATTACAAGAGGAAAAAATGAAAGTTTGATTCAGAAGCACCACAGCACTGAGAATTCTTTGGCTCAGGTTCTCCGCTATGTACTTAAAATCTATTGATTTATATATTTTTTAATTGTTGTTGTAGCTGATTGTTAGCAGACATGGATAGCTGGATCGGACATAGACCTCTGACAGGTCTCTCAACTGATCCTGGAAGATCTGCTTCTGGCATTTGCTCTACCTGTCTGATTAGAAATGGTTCCTTCTGGACAAGGGTCACACTGATAGCAGCAGATCTCTTCGCCCTCTGGAACTCTTCTCCTCTCTCCTGCCTGGCACCTCTTCATGCCACACCTGGCAAAGGGCACCTTCTGAAAGAGAAAAGAGAAATGCTTGAGATGGCATAAGCAAATAACCTGCTTCATTCATTCTTCTCCACATTCCTATTTCAATCAAAAGAAAGTCTTCAAAAGAAATGGTTCACCAGAAACCAAAAACTTCTTCTAGGTGAATTAGGCAAGCACCATTAGGCAAGTCCCTTCAATGGATGCTGGAAATGGGAGATGGGACCTCAGCATGCAAAGGTGACATTGAGCTACAGCTTTGATGAAACAGTAAATGATGAGGGTTCAACTGAAGAGGTTGGGAGGGAAGTGAGTTTTTGGAGGAGTGGGAGGAGGTGAGTAAAATAGAAAAATATGCTTTTATTAAAATTTCTATGGCAATGTAACAGATGTCCTTCTTTTTATTAAGGCAATTATTCTTTCTTGAGGTTAGTAACAGTAGAAACAGGGAGAGATATTTTGAAGTTTGCTTATTATGAATATCTGTGGTTTTATATCATCAATGACCTATGTATACATACATGGTATGAATTAAGTGTAGTGTTTGATTGAAAAAGGGGCAGACGGGGGGAAATAGAAATAAATCAAAGCAATCATCTATAAGATCCATAGAGGAAACATCTTCACAGAAGGCCCCTAAAGATCTTCAATGGTTGCCTGAGTTTCAGGGGGTGACCATTTCATGGAGGAGGAATCAGTCCAGAGCAAGATGACAATCTGGGTGTGGTTCACTGTATCATTTTCTTCTCCTTTCCTGAAATATATGACTGAGTCCTTGTTCTGTAAGAGTCCCTCCCATTCTTGACTCCAGTGTGAACTGCTAAATCCTGCATGAGATTTGGTTCTTGGTTTTGGAGTCCTGCATTCGATTCTACACTGGGAGTAGCCCATAGAAATCACAGTTGCCTCACCTAATGGCATCCTGGCTTTCAAGACATTCTTCCCACTCCCAATCCTTTCTGGACCTGCCAAAATTAGACCTGACATGTGTTACATGCAAATCAGCTTTTTCACCAAATAGCTGCCATATTTTATGACTCAACAGACCTTTTTCCAGTTCCGCATCTCCAGAAGAGAACAAATCTTTCCCTGAATTTACATCAATGCCTTTCAACTCACCTTTGTGGGCCAGATGATCTCATCAGAGTTAATGGTGAAATCCTGACCTGGGGGAGCCCAGGGATCGATTTGCCCGACTTCCACAAGGACAATTGATCGATTGGGGAGGAAAACCCAGTTGAGAAGATCGTAACGAACAGATCTCAGTCTATTTTCTGAGAAGGAGATTTCATCTCCAGCACTGTTGTTGAACTTGACATTCCTCAAATAAGGAAGAATCTGAAAGAAAAGAGACCTTCAGAAATTGTCATAATTGGCTGAAAACCACAAACGAGACAACATGGCTTCTACCATTCTATCATGGCCGTCATTTTAGCAGAAGGGATTATGTCTGAGAAGTTCTACGGCACCATTGGTGGAAATTTGAACAATCAGGGGTAACACTGAGTCTACTTCCCCAGCACAACAAAATTTTGCCTTTGTTCTTGGGCATTTGTATCATGGCTTCTTCAACTCTAGTTTTAACAAATGATACCTACATATAAAGATTTTAATGCCGCATTTAAAATATCAATGATTTTCCTCATGCTTTATGTGGCTATATATATTTAAAAATCTTTGCTTGTAAATTTGTCTTGTAAATTCATTAATTGGATTGATTACATAATTTCTTTCAAAATGGTGTACAATTCCACTGACTGCCTTTAGCTGATAGACAAAGAGAGCAGAAGGCAGGAACCAGCTGTGACTACGTGGGGCCATACAAAAGGAAGTGCCTGCCCAAGGTTGTCCCTTCACTGTCCAGAGGGGTCCAACATTTATCTTTTGATGCAGAAAATCCGGATGAATTTTAGACCAGGAACAAGTTGGATTCAGGCTACATACAGAGAGAGACTGAGGTGGTTCTGGAAATGTGCCCACAAGGACATCAACTGCCCAATTGAAGCCTCTGGCACAAACACATCCAGATTGTCATCTTGTTCTGGGCTGACATCTCCTCTATGAAACGGTCACCTCCTGAAACTCAGGGAACCATTGAAGTTCTTGCAGGACTTTCTATGAAGATGTTTCCTCTATGGACCTTATGGATAATTGATTTCATTTATTTCTGTTTCCACCCCTCTCCCTTTTCAATTAAACACTACAGTTAATTCATGTCACTGTTTATAATAATTGCTGTTTTTTTAACATGTTCTGGTATTCACTGATATTGTAGCATAAAGATATTTCATGAGTAACTCAAGAAGTACATATGGGAAACTTTCACTCTAAGGATCTGTGGACTGAAGAAAAAGCCACAGAGATTACCTGCCACGACTGGACATTTGAGATCCTCCTTCCAAGCCTCATCATGGCTGGTCGTCCTCCAGATCCATACATTGCATGTAAAGCATGTGCCAGAGCATGAACCGCATTGTAGATGTTGAAACCTTCACCAGTCATTCTTCTTTCAAACAAGGAAGTCGGTAAATCTTGTAATTTTTCCTTCCCTGTACAGTTTTTCATCCCCTCTGGATGAAATTTACCTGGTTTGCGGAACCGGCACCCAAATACCTGTTCCCACCAGAACGGGAGAAACATATCGCCTTGTGGGTTCAAAGGGTCTAAAGACAAGAGGAAGTGGCTGAATTCTGAGATATCAGCAGTGTGGTCCCTAACATGCAAAGCCCCATGCAAAGGCTTTAGGGCTTCCCAGATATCTATACGATACATTACAGTAAGTTTCCAAGAGGAAGTTAGGATCCAAACATTCCGATGTGATCCAGTTTCATAATTTACATAAATATAAAGACCAGACTGAAGAGCGGCAACAGTTCCAGTCTCTCCAAAGAAAACAATGATGTCAGCTTTAAGCCACATTTTGGAATATAAAAGTACCTGGACCATATGATGTACAGAATCACCTTTCACCGTTTCAATGAAGGCCAGGCAGATCTCCTTCTCCTTCAGCATTGGCCTCAGAGTTGAGATGAAATGTGCCCCACTGTCACTTCCAGCGGCCAGAAGCCCAACCCAGTTCCACTGGAAATACAGGAGCAGCTGCACTAAAGCCACATACTGAATAGATTCCTTGGGATTAATCCGGAAGAAGGAAGGATAAAGTCTTCTGTCTACGCAAGTGGACTCAAAGCCAACACTGAGCTGGAGAAAGGGAGAATCTTCTTTAAAAGATAACACAAAATTTGATGGTCCCCATTGTGTGGTTTATTGACCCCATCAGTCAAATTGAATCATTTTGAGAGATAAGTTTCATCCCTTCTTAGGAGGAACCACCAATTACCGTATTTGCAGAGTTGTGACATGTTAGAATCCAAGGGAAGAAACCAACAACCAATGTGAACCAAGGTGAACCAAGGTGAAGCTAGGCAAAATCACATCAGATACCTACACAATTAGCACAGGAGCTGCATACAGACGGGAGGTGCATGTGGTGCAACCAGAACTATCTTGAACTAAGTACCCTCAAAACTATATAAATATATGGTGGGTTTTAGAAGAAACCCTCCTATACTACCACCTCTTACAATACTAGACAACACAGTATCAACAGTAGAGTCAGTGGTGAAATCCAAATTTTCAAATTTGAATCTGTCATCTGCACCTCCATAACTGTCTGCAACCCAACAGGACAGACCCAGACTTCAACAGATAATTAGAACTGTAGAAAAAACAATGGCTGCCAAACTGCCTTCCATTGAGGACCTGTATACTGCACGAGTCAAAAGGAGGGCTGTGAAAATATCTACAGATTTCTCACATCCTGGACACAAATTGTTTCAACTTCTACCCTCAAAAAGATGCTATAGAGCACTGCACACCAGAACAACTAGACACAAGGCCAGGTTTTTCGCGAATGCCATCACTCTGCTTAACAACTAATTCCCACAACACTGTCAAATAATTTACTAAGACTGTATTACTATTATTCTTATCTTCCTTACTAGTATCTATCTCTTCCCACTTATTACTATAACCATGTTCCTTGTATCTTTCAATTTATATTGTTTTTATTTGTTTCCTAGTACGATTTGATAGCTTATTAGTAACCTTGACTATCACTAAGTGTATCTTTTTATTCTTGAAGAATGTATTTTATTCTCCTTATGTACACTGAGAGCATATGCACCAAAGACAAATTCCTTGTGTCACTTTGCCAATAAAGAATTCTATTTATATCATATGAAACATATCACTGACCCGTGGTGGCGCAGTGGTTAGAGTGCAGTATTGCAGGCTACTTCTGCTGACTGCCGGCTGCCTGAAATTTGGCAGTTCAAAACTCACCAGGCTGAAGATTGACTCAACCTTCCCTGCTTCCGAAGTCAGTAAAGTGAGGACCCAGATTGTTGGGAGCAATATGCTGACTCTGTAAACTGCTTAGAGAGGACTCTAAAGCACTGTAAAGCAGTACATAAGTCTAAGTGCTATTACTATTGCTATCTTTACACATAAAATATTTAAATGAATCCCCTCCCCAGAACCTTTGGGGCCATCTTGTGCTTCTGTGAGTTCATCTTTTGTTTGTCTAGCCCATCACTTTATCTAAAGGAGCCCCCTTACCTGTGGGACCTTGAAGAGGCTGAAGATGGAGGCCATCAGCCTTGAGGATTTGGCATTGTCACCTCCAACGACAGAGAGCAGAGGGTCCTGCCTGTCACATTTATAACCTGGAACCATTCGGTCACGTGTGGAGAGCAGGAAGAGGCTGATTAAAGAAATACTCCATTCCCACTGGTTATTGTCATACATGTGGAAGCCCAGGGAGATGTTGGGGAGGAGAACCAGATCCTTGTTGATCTCTGTCATTGCAAACACCAAGGCCAGGAACTGGTGGTAGTTGTTAGGTGTGGGTCTATAGGGAGAGAAACATTGTGAGGTATTACATGAAAGCTTGTGTGTGCTGGTGGAGTTTGCCTTGTCTTTGATCTTGGTGGGGTTTCTTTGGAGCAGGATGTCCCAAATATTAATAGATTTTTTTTAAAAAAAAAATTTTTATCAACCTGCATAGATTTGTGAGAAAGGAGAAGTAGGTATGTGTCCCTATCACACAGCATTTTAAATCCTTCCGTCCTTCCTCCCTTATTCACTTTTCTCCAGTGGCTGTAATCCTACTTAATTTCCCCTCTAGTACCCTAATCACTTTTGTTCTCTCTTCTTCAGTCTGGTGACCATTGTTGGGCACAAGATTCCAGTGGGGGCCACAGCAAAGATTTGCTGAGGGCCATTATTTATAAGCACTGCTGATTCCAAAACTGAGTTTTGTATGGGGTGGGGCTTATAGTACCCCATGCAAGAACAGTTTTGAGCTTTTCCTTGAATGTTCCCTCTCGACATACTTTCCAAATTAACAATCTTGCAAGTCATCTACTTAACTAGGGCAGCAACATTCCTACTAAGTTGTCCCTCATCCCTCTGTACGTGATTTATCACCTTCCTGATGAAGAATTCTGGAAAGATTGGGAATCTAGTCTGTTCTATGAGCTTGGCTCCTTATTGAGAAAAACACAGAGAGCTGAACTACACTAGGACATGGAAATATCACCAGAACAAATATGTCTGAGCAAACAAAGCAAACATTTTTCCTCCAGATGAAACTTACATAAGCCCAAAAGAAAATCGTAATGGATCTCTTTTAAAGTCTTTGATGGCATCGCCATAATAGGTGCCAAGGGGCAAATTCCCACCAATAATGAGATCACCAGGCCTGTAATAATATTTCTGAATACTGAAATGTTTTGGCAGAACACATCTGGTTTGCATCCTCCTAGCAGATGTTGGAGACGTTGGAGGCAGGAGCCAGAAGAGCAGCAGCAGCAGCAGGAGAGACAGCCCAATCATTCTTGTCACCTTCCCTACTGCATAAAAATAAAATAAAATCAAGGTCTGTGCAGAAGCTGATTTACAGGTATCGCTTGAAATCTCAGAGGTGTCTTAGCACATAGTCTGCTCATTCCACCTGGATGGCCCCAATGCAAATTTATATGAAATGTGTTTCCTCTTACCTGTGTTTGGGCTGCGACCAAAGAGGAAACTGAGTCAGCTGAGTCTCACCAAAGCTAGAGGTTGGCTCTTTGCAAGACACGAAAAGGTCTCCCTCCCTCCACTTGGAGAAATCAAAGAATATTTGCAAATCAGATTTTATCTTGGAAGGTTTTCTTAGGTGGAAATTCATAGGGGATACGTTAAAAATGACTGTTCTTCTAGTAATTGCAAGGAAAAGCAATTGTCCTACCCACTTGGCACTAGATTTTTGTTTGTGCATCAGAAAAGGAAAAACATGTTTGTGTCTCTTGCTGCTATTCCACAGGGCAGATAGACTTGAGAGTCAAGAGAAAATTGGATGTTTGACCTACATGAAGCAGCCCATGGAAACAAGTTGGGGTTTGACCTTTGCCATAGCTTGTTCAGGTAGAATGAGTGCAAATGGGACAGGGTGGCACATGGCAATCACTTATACACTAGTAAGTGTGGACAATAATACCAATGCAGATTGAAATAACTGATTTATTGATACTCAAATGGAATGGGGCAAAAGTAGAACCTTTCTTCTCCCATAGTTCTTTAAAATAGAGAAGTTGTCAGGCTAATTTAAACTCTACAGCAGGTCGTCTAAGAACTTGTTGGAGCCATAAATGTTTATCTGCTGTATTTGTCTTATGACGTAGGTCATCCGAATCCTCAGCTGGGGTGGAAAGGAAACCACCATTCATAGTCAATGTCTGGACCAGCTGGATCCATGGGGTTATGTGGCTCTCCCTTTTTTCTGAAGCTTGTTCCACCCAGTGTTGGTTCGAGGGGAGAGATTGAGCTCAACCCTTTATCTTCAAGTTGTCTCAGTGAAGTCTTCTCAGTTCAAGGTCAGGTATCATCCATATTATTATTATTATTATTATTATTATTATTATTATTATTATTATTATTATTATTATTATTATTATTATTAATCAAATTTCTATACCGCCCTACTCCCGAAGGACTCAGGGCGGTGAACAGCCAAGATAAAATACAGATAATACAAATATTTAAAAAATCCCTTAAAATTATTAAATATTTTGGCCGAAACACAGATTAAGTTAGGCCAGGCCAGCTTGCTGAAATAGAAAAGTTTTGAGAGCACGGCGAAATGTGCGCAGGTCCGGGATCTTCCGTATCTCTGGGGGGAGCTCGTTCCAGATGGTAGGTGCCCCCACAGAGAAGGCTCTCCCCCTGGGGGCCGCCAGTCGACACTGTTTGGCCGACGGCACCCTGAGGAGCCCCTCTCTATGGGAGCGTACTGGTCGGTGAGAGGCTATTGGTAGCAGAAGGCGGTCTCGTAGATACCCGGTCCGATGCCACGGAGCGCTCTAAAGGTGGTAACCAAAACCTTGAAGCGCACCCGGAAGACCACCGGGAGCCAGTGCAGCTCGCGCAGGAGGGGGGTCACATGGGAGCGCCACGTCGCTCCCATAACCACCCGCGCGGCCACATTCTGGACCAGCTGGAGCCTCCGGGTGCTCCTCAAGGGGAGCCCCATGTAGAGAGCATTGCAGTAGTCCAAGCGGGAAGTAACGAGAGCATGAGTGACCGTATTAAACGAGTCCCGATCCAGAAAGGGATGTAACTGGCGAATCAGGCAGACCTGATAAAAAGTCCCCCTGGCCACGGCCATCATGTGCTCTTCTAAAGACAGCCGTGAGTCCAGGAGGACACCCAAGTTGCGAACCCTCTCTGTGGGGGCCAGTGACTCGCCCCCAATAGTCAGTGATGGCACCAACTGACTATATCGGGATGTCGGAAACCACAGCCACTCGGTCTTGGATGGGTTGAGCCTGAGTCTGTTTCTCCCCATCCAGATCCGCACGGCCTCCAGGCACCGGGACATCACTTCAAGGGCATCATTGGGGTGGTCCGGGGTGGAGATGTACAGCTGAGTATCATTAGCGTACTGGTGGTACTTAACCCCGAAACCACGGATGATCTCACCCAGCGGCTTCACATAAATGTTGAACAGAAGGGGCGAGAGGACCAACCCTTGTGGCATCCCACATACAAGGGGCCTCGGGGTCGACCTCTGCCCCCCTGTCAACACAGACTGCGACCGGTCAGAGAGAAAGGAGGAGAACCACCGTAAGACGGTGCCCCCCACCCCTAACTCCTCTAGCCGGTGCAGCATGATACCATGGTCGATGGTATCAAAAGCCGCTGAGAGGTCTAATAGGACCAGGACAGAGGAACAACCCCTGTCCCGAGCCCTCCAGAGATCATCAACCAATGCGACCAATGCCGTTTCCGTGCTGTACCCAGGCCTGAAGCCCGACTGGAGCGGATCCAGATACGACGATTCATCCAGGTACTGGGGGAGCTGTCGCGCTACCACACTCTCAACAACCTTCGCAACGAAGCGAAGGTTGGAGACTGGACGATAATTTACCAACACTGCCGGGTCCAGGGAAGGTTTCTTGAGGAGAGGCCTCACCACCGCCTCTTTCAAGGTGGCAGGGAAGACACCCTCACTCAAGGAAGCATTTATAATCCCCTGGAGCCAGCCTCGTGTAACCTCCCAAGAGGCCAGCACCAACCAGGAGGGACACGGATCCAGTAAACATGTGGCTGCGCTCAGTCTACCCAGTATCCTGTCCACATCTTCGGGCGTCACAGAATCAAACTCTTCCCAGATAATACTCACAAGACCTGCCTCTGTCCTCCCCACTGAATCTACCCAGTCAGAGTCCAGATGTTCCCGAATCTGAGCGGTTTTGTCATACAGATACTGTACAAAATCCTCGGCTCTACCCTCCAAGGGGTCCTCCCGCGCTTCCTGGTGGCCCTCCAACCACTCTCCAGGCGTCTTTTCCGGCGCTTCATCTCCCTCAGCTCCTCGGTGAACCAAGGAGCCAGGCGAGATCGACGCCGGGTCAGAGGCCGCAAAGACACAACCCGATCCAAAGCTCCAGCGGCTGCCCTATCCCAGGCGGCCACCAGCTCCTCAGTCGAGCCGTGTGCCAGAGCCTCAGGAAATGGCCCAAGCTCCGTCTGGAACCTATCAGGATCCATCAGGCACCTGGGGCGGTACCACCTCAATGGTTCCGCCTCCCTGCGGCGGGGTGCGGCGGTTCGAAGGTCAAAGCGAAGGAGGGAGTGATCTGACCATGACAAGGGCTTAATCACTATATCCCCATCTCAAGATCACTCAACCACTGACCAGAGACAAAAACCAGGTCTAGCGTGTTTCCCCCCGTGTGAGTAGGGCCATGAACTAACTGGGTCAGGTCCATGGCCGTCATGGAAGCCATGAACTCCCGAGCCACCTCAGACGCCTCACTGACGGATGGCAGGTTAAAATCCCCCATGACCATAAGCCTGGGGGTGTCAACCGCCACCGCGGCTATAACGTTGAGCAGCTCGGGCAGGGCTGCCGTCACGTGGCAGGGAGCCAGGTACGTAATCAGCACACCCATCTGCACCCCATGACCCCACTTCACAAGGAGGGACTCACAACCAGCCGTCTGAGGAACAGTGACCTCCCTCGGACCAAGACCTTCTCTAATAACAACCGCCACCCCCCCGCCCCTCCCCTGTGTCCTCAGCTGATGGAATGCGCGGAAACCGGGTGGGCACATCTCAATGAGGGGGACCCCCCCTCCTGGCCCAACCAGGTCTCCGTAATACCCGCCAGGTTCGCTCCCCCCTCCTGAACAAGATCATAAATGAGGGGGGCTTTATTTACCACGGACCGGGCGTTGCACAGCATCAGCCGAAGGCCCAGGGCCTGAGGGTCTGTGCAACCTGGGGAACAAGGGGAGCATTGGAGGCCGGAGCGCGCCACCGCTTGGAGCCAGCGGGCGCGCGCTCCCACAACCTGATGTGGCCCCCTGCTCCCGCCATATCTGCCCCTCCCACCCACAGTACTGATGTAATGACCATCCATAACACAAGCTCTAACCCCCTCCTTGACCCCGGTTCCCACATCTCTAGTGCCGTGCTCTTCAGCCGGCTCTGGCCTCCTCCCGGACAGGTTCTCCCCCAAACCCACCAAACCCACCCCCCTCCCAGAAACCTTTAAAACCTTATCTAAAAATTTCCCCAAAAAACCCCACAACCCCCTCCTCGCCGCATGCCACCTCTCGGGATTCCAAAATCCATCATCAAGGTAGGCCCTCGATAGTGAGGAGGGCCAAACCTGCGAGAGGGGGGAGTCTCACAGCGCAAGCAGGTCAGCAGCCGTAAACATCGCACAAAACAGAGATGGAGAGTCAACTGGTCAGGGCTTCACCAGATCGTCCAATAATACTGCGTCAAAGTAGATCTTCATATCAGGAGCTGGTTCACTGCCCTCTCACGACAGTGAAAGGGGCCAGTGACATCCCCCCACGTCTGGAGGATAATTATCCCAGTCACCCTCTCACAGTGACTGGGGCCGATGACACCGACAATAAAGTCACAATAGTCCATCCTTTCATCTGGCGGATGACAAACAGCCCCCTCAGCACCTGCACACCATTTTGCCCAGTTTCCTCCAGTTCGGGGTCGCACAAGAAGCCAGCAATTTGTAAAGTTATTAAAGACAGTGATGATAATCCCACAGGCACAAGTTCTTCCCTGGGGCGAGAGTAGGGATAGCAGACAAAAAACCCAGTCCAAGTCCAAGGGTGGGTGGCCATCAAAGGCCAACACCCACACATACCTGGGGGAAGAAGGGGGGGAAGGAGAAGCCACCCGAGGTGACCGATAGAGCCCTGGTCAGCCTCCCGCCTCTCCCGTCCCAAGACTCCCCCAAATCCCCAGTCTCAGCTCTGATGACAAACAAACCCCGGATAACAGGGGTCAAGGCTCAAAAAAGAGCAGATGGTAATCCTGAG